AATCTCCCTGCAGATGGAACGGGTTGCACACAACAGGGCAAAGAGGGAGAAATCATCAGCCCAGGATCCTCTTGAGTACGGCATGGCTGACAAGGAAATAGAATGGCTCCAGTGCTTTCTCCTTCTCTTATTCCAATCTCTGAAGCAGCATCCTCCCTTGCTCCTGGACACTGTGAAGAACTTCTGTGATATTCTGAACCCTTTGGACGAGCTGGGGATCTATAAGTCCAATCCTGGCATCATTGGACTTGTAGGTCTGGTGTCCTCTATAGCAGGCATGATCACTGTGGCTTATCCTCAGATGAAGCTAAAGACCCGCTAGGGTATTTTCAGGCTGAGAACTAGTACCTGCTTTAAAAGATGACCTCTTAGTGAATCAGACATTTGCATTAATCACAGGCCATGTCAGACTGTGCTTAAGTTCTTGTTCATGTGAGCATTTCACGAACCGTGATGTGAGCAGAGGTGGGGCCAAGAATAGAGAAGGGGGAGCATGAAGATTTATATGTATTTTTTTAGAGTGCTGGAGTGACTTGAGAATTTCAGAATATTTTCCCTTCATCTGACATTTATTGAGCATCTCTTATGGCATAGTAGGAGCTTAGCCTTTGCTAAATGAATAAAAATTGAAAGGGAAAAAATTGAAAAATACCCAAACTAATAAGTGAACACTAATAAACAACTTTTGGGTTGTATGAATCATTGATTTCGCACGACTACAGTAGGTCTGGTGCATAGCACTCTCAGATCTGGTAGAGGCCCTTTTTTTCTCTTATCAGTTACACCTTGCCCTCCCCCACACACACCCCATAGATATCAGAAGCAGGATGGAAAGGAGTTGGGCTTATAGCCTCTCAACTTGTTGGCCCTTGTGATCACTGCACTCATGTCCTTGCTCTGTCCAGAAGTAGAATCAGAAAGGCATCAGGCACTTTCATGGTATAAATTGTGTCTATGGGGAGAGGTCTTTAGGTAGTGCAGTGAGTAAGCAAAAGTCAGAAGCAGACAGAAGGGAATTGAGATAAAAAAAAAAAGTGGAAGGTCACAATGTATGTAACCTGTGGCAGCTAAGGAAACTGACACACACACAAAACAAAAACAAGCCAAAAAAACCCCTGAGGCCAGAACCTTATCCTCTGTCTCCCAATCCAGTGTTCTTTCCATAATATCTGTCTTCAAGATTGAGTAGAAGTGTGAGTCTTTCCAGAATCCTGTGCTTTTTGCCTCTTATCCTCCCAAAATTTGGAACTTTCATTGGTCAGGGGATCATATTCTACTCTACAAAAATTAAAACCATATCTAGATTTATCAGCTAGATTGTTTTATTTAAAGCCTTATAACAGTTTGGGCAATTCTGTGTTCATTTTCATAAAAATTTATGTAGTTAAAAAATTCCATGAATACTCTGGATATAGTAGGGTCACAATTTTCCATAATAAACTAGACTTCTTATTTGTAGGATGGTTGGGGGAGGTGGGGAAGAGCAGTAAGGGGCCCGTGGAGAGGACATTAGAACATTGAGCCAATGACGCTGACCCGTATTCCTACTTCCCATCTTGGTTGTTGGGTCCTTACGTGTGGTTACAGATCCTTTAGTTTGAGGGAGGCGAGGTGGAGAAACGCCAGCAGTCAGGAGGCTAATGTCAGTCCTACCAGCAAAGCTGTGCCATTTATCTGAGTGGAAATGAGAAAAGAAATATGCACTCAGTAAGTTAAATTGCCCAGAAGAGTGATGGAGATTCTCAAAAATAAATCTGTGGCTCTCTATCTAAAGTGACCAGTCAAGATACGGGATTTGAGAAAGAACAATTTGGAAATTTTAAAGGAACTAAAAGCTACTAGATCAGGGCAAATAAAAAGTTTAAATAACTATTTTTACTTTGTCCAGATCCTCTAATATTAATGGATTGATTATGTCCAATAAATTTCTACACAAAATTGACTCTGTGTCTGTGAATGTGTTCTGGGAATGGGGCAGAGTTCAAAGGAAGGCAATCCAGCAGATAATCCCCAGTCAACGTCTATACAGTTGGTACAGTGGGCTCTAGGCTGGAAGATCCAGGCTGAGCAGGATGATAAAGAAAGATTTAGACATAGAGCCTCTGGTTTGAGAGGGACCTCTAAAATGATCTCATCCAGAGTGCCACCCTGGACAGGGTGCTCTGCAACAGCCCTGTCAATGGCTGGCTGCCTTCTGCCAGGAGAGGTCTGCGTTGAATTTGTGGTGGCACGTTACAGTGGTGTCCGTCTTGGTACTTTTGTCCCCTGTAAGTTAGGGTGAGTGGTGAGGAGTTTGGGAAATGCCGCCTCTTCTGTAGTTTGGGTGGACCTTAATAGTGCCCTGGTAACTCCTCCCCTGTGCATCTTTCTGTTTTCTAAATAACCTCCCCACCCCCAAGCCTCCACATTCATGAGGGATTCCAAAAATCAAAGAAGTTCCTAATAAATATACAGGCCAGCACATTCACAACTGAATATTGTTGCCCGAGAATTCATTTATTCAACAGTGAATGTTCGAGTGCCATGCATGGTTTGGGGGGCCTCCTGGTGAACAAGATGACCAAAGTCCCTGCTCTCATGTGGTGGAGGGGTAGACGGCACAGGTGGGGATAGGGAAGGAAAGAAGATACAACTCTCGGCCTTGCAAGCTGCTGCTGGAAAACTGACTCTTCCCTTGGGACTCTCCTAGGCCCTTTCACCACTTTTCACCTCTCACCTACAATCTACTCCCAGCTAACGCGGCCAAAGGACCAGCTCAGTCAGCAAAGCTTTCAGGCACAGAGCCCTCTACTCCCTCTGGCCCAAAGCCACTACTCCAAAGGCTGAAACTGCCTTTTGGCCCAGGTTGCTGTCCGGACACAGCCTCACAGATTATTTGTCCTGGACCTTGAAATGAGGGCAGAGGTCACTTCTTTAGATACTTCCCTTCCTCTCCATGACTGATATATCAAAAGCCCAGGTTGGATCAATAAGTATTAAATATATCTCATATTTATTATTCCTTTTGGAGGTTTCCTGCTTGACTCTTGCCTCCCTTTCCTGACTTCTCTTTCCCTACTTTATTATATCACAGAGACAGAATTTATTTCCAAGGATCTATCATAAAGCACTGTTTCTCCCCAGGCCCTGCTCTTTCTCCTGTTGCCTGCAGCATGTGACTTAGCAGAGAGTCAACAATACATAACCATTCTACTAGCAGCGATGAAAGTAAGTTTTATCCTCCTATTATTCATTTTAATTGAGAGACCCTTAGATAATCTGAAAACTATGGTATACACCACAGTACTCCATCATCTTGGAAGCCAGGAACTCGAACTTGGGTTTGTGCTTAAGTCCTTGCTGAGGAAGGGATGAGAGGTGATATTTCTTGGTTGTCTAGGTGCTATCGATTGATGATAGAATCTTGGTCAACACTGTCACTTCTCTGGGCTTAGGAGTGATCTCTCGCACTGCCCATTCTAATGGCATCTTAGGCCAGGTAATGTTCAATAAATTTTCCTCAACTCTAGGAATTTATAGAGATTGAAATTGCTCCCTCAAAGGCTAGATTATTAAGGACTCAACCCCCAGCTCGCTCTCTTCCTCACTGAGGGAAATTTATTTCCATAATCAAAGACTAGCACATTCAGGCGAACTCTATTCCTGTGTGGGTTTAAATCTTACTGTTCAATATTCATTCTTGTTATTAAATAAGAAAGAATGGGAGAAATGGGTTGACAATTGTCCCATAAGACCCTTTGTGGAAAAGGAACCAAAGATTACAGAATTATATAGAATTTTAGAGCTTACGAGTTTAATGATATATATCCCAATACTTTCTTTCTGGAAAGCAGATTTTTTGTGAATTGAGGGTCAGAAACGTAATAGAACTAATGCTTCATGGCTCTGGAATACTAAATCCTCTGAGTCTTGGTCTCCTTCAACTCTGTCATCTGCTTCCTCATTGGCTAAATGTCCTTGCAGAAGTTAGGCTCTGCCCAGGGGACCTTGGGTCAGATAACCCGGCAACTGGCTGACCTCACCTTCTCTTCCTCTCTGCCCCCCTCTAGCTAGGAGACATTAGTAGCATTGCTCAAGACTCCCTGGAGTGACTGGAATTGTTTCTGTCCGAGGAGGCTCTACAGCCTGGGCTCCGTGAGACTGAGGTGGTGGTCCACTGGAGTGAGTGTGGGGGTCCTGGGGCATCCACCTGTCCTGGCTTGTTTATGAGCATTAAAGGGAAGAAATTGAGGGTAAGGGCCTCTTGGGAATTTTACTGGGAATAAAGGGAAATTACTGAGGAAGAGACTCAAGGTGAATGACTGGGAGAATAGAGTAGCTATTCTGGGGTCTGGGATCACTGCCTTTTCCAGAATGTAGCTGAAATAGCTGGTTTGAAGAGTGGCTGCTTTCTCATCTGGCTGAGGATAGAGGGAAGGACTAGCATGTATGCTTGCTTAGAAATAGAGGAATTAACCAAGTGTTTTTCATTGGGGGGGGGAAAAAAGACTAAACCTGAAACTTGTTCTTTAATTTCTTTATTTTTTGGAGATGGGGTCTTGCTGTCTTGCCCAGGCAGGTCTGGAACTCCTGGGCTTAAGCGATCCTCCAGCCTCATCCTCCCAAGTAGCTTAGACTACAAGCATGTGCCACCATGCCTGGCTTGAAACTTGTTCTTTTAGTCTCTTTTGGATCGTCATTTTAGAGCCCCAAGACTTCATCTAAAACCTTTTGTCTCTATGGCTATCTACATTTGTCATTTCTTACCCTGAGCCCTTATAAGAAACATCAGTCTTGACAAGTAGGCTGTGGAGCAACTGGTTCCTGTGGGGCTCTAAGGAGTGGCCTCTGTGTGTGACATTTACCCTTCAAACTAATGCCTTCTGTTCAGGAAAACTGAGCTCCCAGGCAGCCTGGGCCCAGTTGGTGGCCATGAGAGGTAGGGCACTGACCTGTGGATCTCAAGCCTGAGGGCTTCTGGTGGACCTGGGACTCTCTGCTTTGCAGCTGGAAGAGCTAGGATGGCCGTCAACAAGGACCCCGCCCTGCTGGATGGAGACTTCCCTGTAAGTAACTTGGGCGCATATGAGACAGGGGACGGACAAGTGAGGAGGCAGGAAGGAGCAGGGAGAGGAGAGGAAGGGGTTTTAGAGTAAGATATGTCCAGATTATAATCCTAGTTCATTACCCACCATATATTAGTTATTCTTGCCCTCCCTACCTTTGCAGGGAGTTAGAGGGGGGGAGGGGGGGAAAAGATGCCTATTAAAAATTAAGCACCTTGGAAAAGAAGGACAAAAATCCTGGCTGAGGGGCGGGGCGAATGGAGAAGAAGGGAACTGCCTCGTTCTAAACCCTGATGCAGCCCGTGCTCTGTGCACCGCCCAGCTGGATGTACATCCAGCGCAGAGCTCCTGCATTCTCTAACTCCGGCGTCGTTTATACGGTGAATGGCACTTCCCGGAGTTAGGTGGCGCGCAGCCTGTGCTGCGTGTGTGGGCGTGGGTTGGATGTTCAGTGTGTCCGGTGTTGTGTCTCTGACCTGGTTTTCACTGTGACTTAGAATGGTTTTGATACTTCTAGGTATACTTGATGCCGCCTGATTTGGGCACAGTCGAGATAGTTAAACTTAAAAATTGTGAACCTGTACAATATCTACCTTGTCCCAAGTTAGGCTTTAACTAACCTTTGCATTAGGAATTGCTGTGTTAAGTTTTGTAGTGAATCGTAGAGAAAAGCATAAAATGGTCAGGTGCATAGTTAAGCCATCCTAACCGATGGTGCTTTATTCCCTTCCCAGGATCTCTTTCCCACTTTGGCTCTGTCTAAAACAACCCCCAAGGGCTCCATCCAAAATGTTAGAGAATGTTTTCTTGTTTTTAGTCAAAATATTTTTCTAGTTCAAATTTAAAACCCACCTGTGGATGAAAAAGCCACACTATTGTGGCCTGCTTTGTCTAGTGTACACGTGAGTCTCCTTGATGGATGTTCTAACTGTCACCTGCAAACAGAACAGGCTAGGTCCTCGCCTGCAGAGCAGAACCGTGCCACAGCATCATAGTTGAAGCTACACAAGAGCACAAACATCTGAGTCAGACCTGGACAGTTTTCGCTTTTTAACTTTTATGCGGAGAATTGTTAACATTCATAAGAGTAGACAGAAGCCCCATGTACTCTTTACTAGCCCCAACAACCATGAATCGTGGCCAGGCCTGCCTCATGCTCCCCCCCATCAACTCCCCTGCTTTGTGTTACTTTGAAGCAAATCCCAGATAGACTTGGAATTTCAGACTTGACTTGGAATCCTGACTGTGCCCCTTACTATCTCTGTGATCTTCAGCAAATCTCTTCACATCTCTGAGTCTGTCTCCTCATTGGCAAAGCAGTGGTGATAATGGGTCGCCACTACAGAGGGTCACTGTTAGAGTTAAGTGAGGTCATGTCACCAAGGCACACAGGTCAGTGTCTGAAGCATAATGGCACCTAGTAAATGGACCCGTGTGTTTTCACTAAGGATTCTAGGTGATCTAAAGCTCAGTTATGTGACTGCTGCCAAAGTGAAATGCATTAATAAGAGCACAGCGCCCCAATAATGAGAAATGATGGTTCCACTACACCCTGCATGCTCAAACCACACCTGGAGTTCTGTCTTCAAGCTTGAGTGCCATATTTTTAAGAAAGCCAACACGAGGCCAGGTACGATTATAGGCTCATGCCTGTAATCCTAGCCCTTTAGGAGGCCAAGACAGGAGGATTGCTTGAGGCCAGGAGTTCAAGACCAGCCTAGGCAACATTAGCAAGACCCTGTCTCTACGAAAAATTAGCCGAGCATGGTGGCGTGTGCGTGTAGTCCTACTCAGGAGGCTGAGGCTGGAGGATCACTTAAGCCCAGGAGTTTGAGGTTGTAGTGAGCTGTGATGATGCCACTGCGCTCCAGCCTGGGCAGAGTAAGACCCTGTCTCAAAAAAAAAAAAGAAAGAAAGAAAGCCAACATGAAACTATAGCGTGTCCAGGGGAAGGGGGTCACCAGACCATGGTGTGAACCGTTAGTAAACTAAGTTGGAACTGGAGCTATTTACCGTGGAGAAGGGACCTCTAAATGGAGTCGTCTTTGACTTCAAATATGTGAAGGGCAAACCCATGAATGGTAAAATAGATTTGCTCAGCACTGTTCCAGAGGGCAGAGGGTGAGATAGGGGTGAAGGCGGATTGTCCAACAAGGGGCACAGGCCACTCTACGAGACAGTCCTCCCATCTAGGGAGACATTCAAATACAAGTCTACCAGAGAAAGGATTCTTGCTGCAGAGTCCCCTAGAGGCCTAAGATTCTGCGATGCTATATAGTTGGGCAGATTTAAACTCAGACATTCTACTAGGTATGGCCCTGACTGTGATTCATTTATCCAACTAACATTACGTGCCACACTTCAGGCTAGGCACTGGGGATGCAGAGATGACAGTCTACTGGGAGAGAGAGACAAGTACACACATAATCACAGTACAGTGTGACAAATGTAGAGACAGCCCAGGGAAGGAAGCAGTGGCTTCTGATGTAGGGGAGGAGAGTCAGGAAGCTTCACAGGCGAAGGGATGGACCCGAGTGTTGAGGGCATGGCATTCCGCCAGGCAGAAAGGGCCGTGGGACGGAAGGTGAGCATTCTAGGCAGTGGGGCCAGCATACACAGGCAGGGAGGCAGCATCTCAGAAAGACCAGAAAACTGTTTAGATGAAGCCACTGATCTAAGGTGGACTGGAACTCTGGATGTCAACAACACTTGCTGTCTACCAGTAAATTGGCGGGGGTGGGAGGATAGGTTGGGGACGGACAGGATTTGGCTTGGCCCCTGGAGAACAGAGACTGCCTCAGCAGCTCTCCAGAGCCTGGCTGGTGACCAGGAGGGCATGGCAGACTGGCTCTCGTGTTCCCTGTGGGCACCCCCATGCTCCCATGATTGGGCCTCCAGAGACCTCTTTGGCCCTGGTTCCACCCAGACCACTGGGACTCAGGCTAGCCTCACCCTTGGTCTCCATGAGCCTGGGGTCACCTTCCTGGGAGGTCAGAGAGGGAAGTGGGACAACTTGAATGTGTTCCTTCCATGCCAGGAGCAGGAGAACGTGCTGCAGCGGGTCCTGCAGCTGCCTGTGGTGAGTGGCACCTGTGAGTGCTTCCAGAAGACCTACACCAGCACCAAGGAAGCCCACCCCCTGGTGGCCTCTGTGTGCAATGCCTATGAGAAGGGCGTGCAGGGCGCCAGCAGCTTTGCTGCCTGGAGCATGGAGCCGGTGGTCCGCAGGCTGTCCACGCAGTGTGAGTCCTGTGATATTCAGCAGCTGCCTGTTCCCCGACGCGCACCGCCTGCCTGCCAGACTGTCCGCCTGCGCACCAGTCTGTCTGACCGTCTGATAGCTTGCCTGTCTGCCTACCTGCCTACCTAGCTGCCTCCATCCCTTTACATTGTCTTCTCTGCTGTAGATACAAAGATACAGATACAGATCTCTTTTCTTCTCTAGATGCCTCGTCTGTGGCCCACTGGCATTTTCCTAGGATAACAATGAAGGGCCAAAGAATCTGCAGGGGGAAGGGATGGGCAGAGCTGTGTGGCAGGGCTGTGGCGAGAGTGGGGCCCGGGGCTGACCCGATGCCCCCTCTAGCAGCAGCAACAGCAGCAAGAATTAGCAGTCTGGCACAGAGGCAGGAGGAGCGGGGCCTAGGGCTGGCCTGGCAGGGCTGGAGGGCATGCAGGGAGTCTAGAGGCTGATGGTAGTGGCTCGTGACAGGCAGGGGCAGCAGAGAGCCACCGGCCAGGGTCCTGGAGGTGGAGGACAACCATCCACACAGGCCCCGCCTGGTGTGCCCTGTTCAAATTGTTCTGCCCTATCTGAAAATATGGTCTCCAAGGTGTGGCTCTTGACAGGGCTGAGGGAAATAGCAGTAATGCTAAGAAGTCTAGCACCTTCCACCATCCTAATGAGAGAATTATGAGTATCTGAGGATACCTAACACAAATACGTGAAGAAGGCCCAGGCCCTGGGCTAGCCTCCCTGCCTGCAAGCTCGTCAAAAACTTTCCCTGGGTCTCATTCTGCCCAATCAGAAGACAGGTCATCTGCGCTCTCTACTGCTTGAGAATTTTGTAAAGAAAAATAAGATATATGGAGAAAGAAAGAGCATATGGAAACCTCCTTTAAAAGTGTGATCTCCATGACCATGACTGCACAGCTGATGTCCCGGCAGCCAGGGTGGTATCCCCCTGAAGGATTCGCATCCTCTGGTGCTAGCCCTGCTGTCTGGGAGAAGCTCCTTTCTCTTCCCTGTGTCTGTCTTCATACAGATGCGCATCTCAACACCTAGTGGTTAAAAAGAAGGGTCTCAGTCTGGGGCCTGCACTGGCTACAGTTGGGAGTTTGTCACCTTGAGAGCTAGGCAGGCCCAGGCCTGGCCCCACCAGGGCCCAAGCCAGAGGCCCTGTGGCCACCCCCCTCCCACTCGCACCTCTCGTCTCCTTTCTCCTCATGCTCAGCCCCAGTCCCCAAGCAGTGGGGAAGGATGGAGGAGGAGGGGAGAGGACATCACTTGTTGGTGATTCACATAGTTTCCATTAATTACTTCCTCCTCACAACCATCCTGCAGTGCTCGCCCCAACCTGGCCTTTCCCTTCCAGTCACAGCTGCCAATGAGCTGGCCTGCCGAGGCCTGGACCACCTGGAGGAGAAGATCCCAGCCCTCCAGTACCCTCCTGAGAAGGTGAGCCCCTCCCCTCCTCTCTAATGCTCCCCACCCTCTGTTGTCAGCGTCTCTCAGAGAGGAGAGGGTGGGAGCTCCTGGTCCCACGACTGTGAGTCTTGCTATGTTTCTGTAGCAAACTCCAAGGCTGGTGGAGGCTGCCTGCTCCTCAGCCGCACGACGGGCTCCTCCTCCCCTCGTGCAGCCAAACAGAGCGGGGGCGTTCCCGGACCAGCAGGCACAAGCCTAGAGGCAAACTCAAACAGGAGCTGGGTGGGTCCCCTTGCCTCGTAGTATCCTGCCCTGAGACCTGCGCTCCGTAGGCCTGCACTGGATCACTTGGTGACTACAGCTGCCCAAGATCATGGGTCACACTCATTGGGATCCCAGGATTGCAGTCTCATGTCCTCAAGATCCAACCCTTTATGGACCATGAGACCGAAAAAGTCACTTTACCTGGCTACATATTGACTGGTAGTTGCTATGGTCGGGGCCTGTGTTAGGTGCTTTGGGGGTCTAAGCTTCAGTCTCTGACCTCATCCATCTCACTGACCAGCTATCTGCTCATCCCACAGACATTTACTGAGCCCTGCCCTATGCCAGGGGCCAGCACGTGTGCTTATAGAGCCCACTCATTTAATCCTCTTGGCCACCCTCGGGATAGGGGGCTGTTGTCCCCATTTTACAGATGGGAAAACTAGCGACTCCTCCCAGCCACATGGCCTTAAGTAGAGACCACATGGGAGCAGGTCTGTTTGGCTCTGAGGCTTGTGTCTTCACTCCCCATTTTTCCAGATAAAGGGCAATGTCTTTGTCACAAGGAGCCCCTGGGCTAATGAAGAGAAGGACAAATTATTTCAACGCAGAACTTGTAGGAAGATCAATCACATCTATAAATCAATACAAACGCAGTGCTCTGAGGAAAGGTCAGAGGAAACAGTACAGGACTTTGGAAGAGAAGAGGCCTCGTGTGTGCACGAGGGTATCAGGGCAGGTGCCACCAAGGAGGAGGCCTTTGGGGCTGTCCTTGAAGGATGGGTAGGATCGTGACAGGCAGTGATGGGTGTGAAGAAACCAGGAGACCTGAGTGGCTGGCACAGGGAAGGTTGATGCCCTTTCCCTTTAAAGGCCAGTTTAATCCAAGTGCCCAAATATCGGTACAGTCCCCTGGGTCTTTAAATAAGGCCTTCCCGGGAGCTGGGCTCAGGGCTGAGACCCTGAGAGGGCAGCCCTTGTAGGGCCTGTGCAGTTCACATTCCTGACACCCGCCCAACTTCCCGTAGATCGCGTCTGAGCTGAAGGGCACCATCTCCAACCGCCTCCGCAGCGCCAGAAACAGCATCAGCGTGCCCATCTCGAGCACTTCGGACAAGGTCCTGGGGGCTGCTTTGGCCAGCTGTGAACTTGCCTGGGAGGTGGCCAAAGACACTGCAGAATATGCCGCCAGCACCCGAGCTGGCAGACTGGCCTCTGGAGGGGCTGGCTTGGCCTTGGGTGGCATTGAGAAGGTGGTGGAGCTCCTTCTCCCTCCAGACAAGGAAGAGTCAGGTACCTGCCATCACGGAGGCTGGACCCGTGCTGGGGAGTGAGTTGGCTGCTCATGCTGCCTGGGAATCAGCAGGAGGCAGCAAGGGCTCATCCAGCCACTGCTCCGGAATAGGGAAGGCCCAGTGGGATTTTCCGATGAATCCATAATCATTTAGCCCTGTATCTCCATCTGTAAAAGTAGATTGCACAAATCACCAGTGAGTTTGTGGCAGAACCAGGATGACGCCTTTCCAGTCCTAGACACCACCCAGATTTCCCCAGCCCCTCTCTGATCTGTTTTCTCTCCTTTCCCCCCAAATCCCTACCCAGCCCCTGCTCCTGGACACCAGCAGGCCCAGAAGCCTCCCAAGGCTAAGCCGAGCCTCGTGAGCAGGGTTGGGGCCCTGACCGACACCCTCTCTCAGCACGCCCTGCAGACCACAGGCCGGGTGCTGAAGCAGGGCCACGCCCTGGCCATGTGGATCCCGGGTGTGGCGCCTCTGGTGAGTGTCTGCCCTGAGCTCTGCCTGACCCCACGCCGGAGAGTCCTGTGGGCCTCCTGGTCCCTTCCTGCCCTCACCTGATGCCCCCTCCTGTCCTGGAATGTTCTCTCTTCCAACCTGGTCTGGGGCTCTAGGTTTAAGGGCAAGAGGCCTTCAGAAGAGTGGAGGGCTAGTCCTCCAGGCCAGAGGGGGGAGAAGGGAGAGGATGTTAGTCAAGGGCAGGCCTATCTTGCTAGCGTGGTCCTGCCCCACCGCTCACTTCTGTCTCCCCTGTTCTCTCTCTGAGTCTCCCCACTGCAGCCTTCATCCCCTCGAGTGGGCCTCTTGCTGTGGGCCCTCCCGCCTGCGAGGGAGCAGAGCCCCCCATCTGCTGTCCGAGCACTAGGGAGTGTCATCCTCAAATAAAGCACAAAACTTGTTTTGTCAGGGAGAGAGCCCTAGTTGCCCCCCGGTTTTTTAAATGTCCCTTCTAGAGGCTTCTAATTTCCATTCCCACTGAACCCAAGGTAAAGCTAACTCTCCACAGGTGCCCACCCCTGCCTCTCTGTGTATTTTAGCAGAGATAAGCTGATTTTTTTCATAAAGAACTTTAGTAAGAAAGTAAGGCCAAAAAAGGGAATAAAAACAACATTAAGGCATAAAGGCCAGCAAACAAGATGACTACTTTTCAGCCATCATTGGAGTGGTACTTTTAAAAGTATCACCATGCCTGGATCTTCCATTCTAGCAAATCCCCGATAGGGACACAGGAGTAGTAGCTCCCCTCTGTCCCCTGCGCCGAGGATCCCTTACCAACAAGGGCCGAGACCGACTCAAGTGCCCTGGCCCGGCCTGTGGTGGGTGGAACCTCAGGCGCCACCGTTCACGTACAATGGAATTGTGTGCTAAAAGCTGTGATATAAGGAGAACCTTTCTGTGGGGCTCCCTATAGGTTTGGAATGAGCCAAGCTATGCCTCAGCCCACCTGTCCACCACTTGAATTTCTCATTCTTTAAAGATCTGTGAGGAATATCTACTAAAGCTAGACCTACATACACCCTATGGCCTAGCAATTCCACTCCTAGGTGTATGCTCGGCAGAAATGTGCACTTATGTAGCCCAAGACATGTCCAGATGTTCACATCAGCTTCATCCTAACCAAGAGCTGGAAACAATGAGAATGTCCATCAACAGTAGAATGGGTAAATTGTGGTAAATTCATACAATGGAATATTACACAGAAATTAAAAAGAAGGAACTACTGCTATATGCAGCAACATGAATGAATCTCACACCATAATGTTTAACTCAAGGAGCTATTCAGGAACAAACACACGTGGTATGATTTCATTTATATGAAGTTCAAAAATAGACAAAACTAAGGCATAGTAAGAGAGATCAGAATTGTGGTTACTCTTGGAGGAGCAAGGACCGAGTGGGGGCACAGAGTCTCCTGGGGTGTTGGAAGTGGTCTGTATCTTGGTCTGTGGCAGTTACACAGGTGTGTAGAGCTGTGAAAATGCACAGAGCTGTACTCTACAGACGTGTGCCCTTTAGTGTACGTAAGTTACCACTCAGTGACGTTTTAGGAAAAGTCTGCCGGGGCCAGGCCCTGCTTACCACCCTGGCCCTGACCCTGGGTGACAGGCTCTGGCTGCGGGGGCGGCCCCTCCTGTGGCAGGGGCTGCTGAGCCAGCAGTCTGCTGCCATCCTCCCTCAGAGCAGCCTGGCCCAGTGGGGCGCGTCAGCGGCCCTGCAGGTGGTGTCCCAGCGGAAGAGCGAGGCGCAGGCGCCCTGGCTACGCAACCTCACGGCCACCCAGGAGGAGGACCGTGATGACCAGACGGACACAGAGGGAGAGGATTCGGAGGAGGAGGAAGAACTGGAGACCGAGAACAAGTTCAGTGAGGTGAGGGAGGGAGTGGGAGCCTCTAGCTCCCACAACCCACGCAGCAGGTGAGAAGCAGAAGCATGGGGTGAGATCAGGGCTTCTTCCCCAGACCCAGGGACATGGGACATAGGTGCAGCACGCCTCACCCTGCCCCAAATCCCAACTGACAAAGCACTTCCATGTCACTTCTCTCAGCTGACTCTCACCCCTTAAGATAGGCAGAGCAGAGGTTATTGCTCCGTTTCGCAGGTGAAGAAACTGAAGTTCAGAGATAGGATGTGACCCGTCCAAGGCCACACAGCTAGTGGCAGAGCGAGGCCTAAGGTTTTTCCAATTTGGTGTGCCCATGCTTTCCCCTCTAGCTCTGGGGCTGGTGGGAAGGGGAAGGGTCAGTGCAGTCGCTGCAGGAGGTTCTGACCCTGCTTTGGCCCACCAGGTAGCAGCCCTGCAGGGCCCGCGAGGCCTTCTGGGCAGCGCGGTACACACTCTGCAGAAGGCCCTCCAGCGCACCATCTCGGCCGTGACGTGGGCACCTGCAGCCGTGCTGGGCACAGCAGGGAGGGTGCTGCACCTCACGCCGTCCCGTGCTGTCTCCTCAACCAAGGGGAGGGCCATGTCCCTATCGGATGCCCTGAAAGGCGTTACTGACAATGTGGTGGACACGGTGGTGCACTATGTGCCGGTGAGTCCCACCCTGAGCTGACCCTCCCTCTTCCAAGGAGGCCTGGACAGGACAAAGTAGATTTGACTGAAGGGGCTGCAGCCCCGCCTTCCCCCAAGCCCCTGGAGACCCTCCTCCAATTCTCAGAGCCTCAGAAACATTTTGACATACTGGGGCCTCTCCCAGCCCAGGAGCATGGAGGCCTACGGCCCTGGGCCTGAGGCCTCTCCCGCTATGTCTCTCCTCCCACCTGCTGGTGGCGTCTCCTGCCAGCACTCTGGGCATCCCCAGTGGCTCAGCCCTCACCCCTCGGTTCCCCATCGAAGAACCTGGCGGGTTTGCATGCTGCTGCCTGGGAAGGCGGTGTTGGGAGGCTTCGAGGGCATCCTGAGAGGTGGTCCATGAGTCCGGCTGCTGTCCCCACCTGATTCTATCACCCGTCTTCAACAGGAAAACCCACAAGATGCCTATGCCATCCCTTTGGGAGCCCCAGGCCCCTTTCCAGAGCAAGTTACAGGTTGTGCAGGCTCCAGGAGGGCTGGTCCGGGCAGGAAGCACCCTTGGAGCTGGCAAGGGGGTGGGTTACTCAGTCACTCACTCACAACAGGAGGCATGCCAGAGATCTTGGCAGCCAGCCTGTTCACCTTGGGCCCAAAACAAGCCCAGGCAGGGGTGCCCTGACCCTGGCCGGGTCAATGTGTGTGCCACACTCAGCCTACAACTCTGGCCCAAGGAACGTTTAGGAAAGCCTGCCACTCAGGGTGCCCCTGAGGGAGGCCCAGGGGATCCGGAAACTTTGGGAGGCTTGCCTTGCCTGGCCCGTGGAGACGCTCAGAGTGGATAAGACCTCAGGGGTCTCCCCAGCGTCCTCCATTCTCCTGTCCCACGCCCCAGCCTGTACCCTCCTGACCGCCGCTCCTGGAGGAATGAAGGCGAGGGCCCCGGAGGGGGTGGTGGGTTGGAGGCGCAGAGACGAGGGCCAAGCTGGGTTCCTAACGCAGCTGCCGGGTCCTCAGCTCCCCAGGCTGTCCCTGATGGAGCCCGAGAGCGAATTCCGGGACATCGACAACCCGCCGGCCGAGGCCGAGCGCCCCGAGGCGGAGCGCAGGGGGTCTGGGGCGCCGACCCCGTGCCAGGAGCCCGCGCCGCGCCTGGGGCAGCCCCGCGGCAGCCTGCGCAGCGCTCGGGGCCCCGGCGCGCCCTCCAGCCCGGGTCCGGACGACAAGGCCGAGACGCCCGCCCTGCCGCGCCCGGGCTTGCCGGCCGTGCCCCGCGAGAAGCCGAAGCGCAGGGTCAGCGACAGCTTCTTCCGGCCCAGCGTCATGGAGCCCATCCTGGGCCGCGCGCAGTACAGCCAGCTGCGCAAGAAGAGCTGAGCCGCGGCGCCCCGCCCCTGCCGGCCCGGCGCGCCCCGGGCCAGGCCCGAGTTCTCTGACCACAAACAGAACGCACACTCTCCAGGCCGACTCCAAACAGAACGCACACTCTCCAGGCCGACTCCAAACAGAACGCACACTCTCCAGGCCGACTCCAAACAGAACGCACACTCTCCAGGTCGACTCCAAACAGAGCGCACACTCTCCAGGAGAGCGCCGCCTCCTTCAGCGTGGGCGAGCCTCATCCCGACGACGCTGCTGAGACACGCATCATTTTTTTTTTAGCATCCTTTTGGGGCTTCGCCGTCAGAGCCAGTTTTAAGGGGCACCAGAGAGCAGTCTGCTCTGATTCCATGGCTTGTTCTAAGAGTAATTGCTTAGCTTGACCTTCACTTCTTTAACCAAACTTGTGGCCGAGTGCGTTTGACTGTTTCCAAAATTGAGATCCTTTCTCTGCCACCAATGAGTAACATGTCACCGCCCAGAGGGTCCAAACAGGAGTTCTTGACACATTTTTAGCGCTGCACTCAGAGATCCTCTGTATAGGCTCTCAGCACACTGCTTTGAAGGGAACAACCGTGCAAAAGCTCTTCTGTGTTCATGTCGCCGAGTACTCCCCGCTCTGCGCAGGCTGTCCCAGGCCTGTCTCCTGTAGCGCCACCTGCTTGCTCACAGCGCTATTTCCATTTCTGTCATTACTGCCTTCCCTGCATAGTCACTCCTTTGAATGCCCCCCAGATGCTGAGGGATGAAAATGGTGACCTTTCACCCCATATAGTCTCTACTGTATAGCCCGTATATAGATTTTATAGCCACAGTTCATTCCCAACCCTATTTTTGGAAATATTAATATTTGCTAAATCTGGAAAATACATATAATTAAAACATTCAAACATTGTAAAAGGGTGTGTGTTTTTGTTCCTGAGTTCCCCAGTCCCCTTCATAAAAGCAACCATGATGTGGTCTCTTGTGTATCCTTCTTGTTAGAGGCTATGCATGTACAAGCACATGTGTATATTCTCCCTACCTTTGTTTACACAAAGGTGGGATGCTACATTTACCTGCTTTTTTCACTTAACAATACAACTTATGAGTGTTTTTGTATCAGCATCATAAATCCTACTTGCTCTTCTTAATGGCCACATAGTAAGTACTTAATAATATGAATATGCCATATTCGATTTAACTAGTTCCCTAATGATGGACTTTTAAGTTGTTTCTAATGTTTTTGCTACTATAAACAGTGCTATAATAAATTTCCGTATCAAAAATGTCTTGTGTACATGTGTGGCTATATCTACAGGATGAATTTGTAACTTGTAACAGTGACGTGCTGGGTAAAAGAATATGTGCGTTTTGAATACTGACAGATAATGCCAAGGAGCCGTCCCAACCAAGCCGTTTTTCTAGTTATTTTCATCTGCAGCTACGGAAATATGCACAGATAATTATGACTCTTCTGTCAGTCCTTTTAGACATCCACATGCACACCCACCCCCTATAGGTTCCCCTCGGACTGAAGAGCATCCTCTTGGCCCCTGCTCTGTGGCATACCTGACAGCTCCGCTCTCTGAAGCTGACCTGGCATAGCTTTGGTGTAATCCGTGGTTTTGGAGTCTCAGGATGCCAAGAAAGGGGATAGGAGAGGGGCTGATAGACATACACATGTGAACATGGCCAGGACCCTGAGCTAGCCTTGGGCCCCACCCCACTTCCACAATGCATGCCACACCCAGCAGTTCCCTGAGGGGTGGGGAGGGGTGGATCTGGCAAGAGGGACCCTTAGAAGCTGATATGACAGGACTGAGAAGACACAGTCCAGCCCAGCCCTGGCAGGGCTCTGATGGGCAGCTGCTGTAGAAGCGACCTCAGGCCTGGATGTCAGAGAGAAATGCCTGCCCATCCTCTGTGTCACCCACCCATGCTGCTTTCTTCCTGGGGCTCTGGAAACCACACTCCTGGTTATCCACCCCGCCCTAGTTCTCTGGCTCCTCTTGCTAGGCCCATACTCCAGGAGGCGGGAGAGCTGCCGTCCCAGCAACCCATGACACCCCGGACAGGGCTGCGGCAGTCAACACATCTGCTGGCCAGGGTGCTGGGGGCCAGCATATGCAATAGGACAGCCCAGGAAACAGTGTAAATTGTAACAGTCTCTTTTATATGATTAAAAACCTCTTGATTAGGTAGCGAGATACCCCGAACCTGTTTATCACTATTTTTTAACACATTTTGGCCAGAAACAAGGGCAAAATAGCCCTTTAAATGACAGAAATTTGCTTCCTTAGCTTTGGGCTTGATGAGGGACTTTTCTCTGTTCTGGGAGGCATCACCTTGGCCAGCCCTCTTAGTCAAGTGGTTGTGAAGGCACATCCACACCTGGTGTCTTCAGTAGCTCGGGACCCAGGGCAGACCTCCCTTCACACTGGGCTGCCCGCAGAAACACCGCGTGTCCTCTATTCCGGCTTACGGAAGGCTTCTCCAACTCAATCACAGCTTTTGGAAATGGAAAAGGAACGACTACAGACCGTAACATGCATTTATCCAGGCAATTATTTACCACGTTTTCTTCTATAATTATCGAGAATCTTAATGTACAAGGGATTTCTGTGCATATATATAGAGAGAAATATAACTATGACTTGTGCTTCAGTGCTCATTGTCTTAAGCATAATTTTCCTAAACATTTAAACACTTCATACTTAGTCAAAACTTATAAAGTCCGTGTCAGATTATTTTAAATATTTAAATGTTGATTACAAACTAAAAAGTTGAGTTCTAAACACTTCTAGAAACCCTGAGTCAATGGAAACGTCTGCATACCTTGTTAGTATCTCCTTATACTTGGTGGTATCATCCAGAGGTTCCTCTGTGCGCAGAGAGGGGACTGAGCCTGTGCAAACTGTCCTTCAAATGGTTGTTCTGATTTACATTCTCACCAGAAGCACATGAGTCCTCTTACCCAACATCCTCGCCAGCATTTGACATTATCTAAATTTTATCATTTTTGTAAGCCTGCTGGGCATAAAATGAAATCTCACTGTGGATTTAATTTTCTGATTAGCAATGATATTGAACATTGTTTATTATGTTTATTGAATATTAGTACTTCCCCTTCTGTGAAGTGTCCATCAAAACTTTTAAGCATCTTTCTATTGGTAGTTTTTCTCACTGATTTTTAGAAGTTCTTTATATTTTCTGGATACTAATCCTTTATCAGCTATATGTATCACAAATACCTTCTTCCAGCTTGTGGCCTGTCTTTTCATTTTCTTTATGGTTTCTTTATCCATTCTTTTGATGAACAAAAGTTCTTAATTTTGACTTAGTCAAAATTATCATTCTTTTCCTTTGTGATTTGCAATTATGAGTTATGGAGGTTTTTTTATTTGTTTTTGTTTGGTGGTTTTTTTGTTGTTGTTGTTTGTTTGTTTGTTTTGAGACAGTGTCTCACTCTGTCGCCCCAGCTAGAGTTCAGTGGCATCATCACAGATCACTGGAACCTCAAACTCCTGGGCTCAAGGGATCCTCCTTCCTCAGCCTCCTGAGTAGCTGGGACTACAGACGTGCACCACCGTGCCTGGCTAATTTTTCTATTTTTTTGTAGAGACAGGGTCTCGCTGTTGTTCAGGCTGGTCTTGAACTCCTGACCTCAAGAGATCTTCCTGCCTCAGCCTCCCAGAGTGCTAGGATTACACGTGTGAGCCACTGTGCCTGGCCTTGAGTTATGTTTTAAAAACTCTTCCCTACCATGAAGTCATGATGATATTCCCCTGATAATGTTCCCCTTTTTGATTATGATTTTCTTCTTCTTTTTTTTTGAGACAGAATCTTGCTCTGTTGCCTGAGCTAGAATGTCATGGTGTCAGCCTAGCTCAGAGCAACCTCAAATTCCTGGGCTCAAGTGATCCTCCTGCCTCAGCTTCCTGAGTAGCTGGGACTACAGGTGAGCACCACAACACCTTGCTAATTTTTCTATTTTTAGTAGAGATGGGGTCTCTCTCTTGCTCAGGCTGGTCTTGAACTTCTGAGCTCAAGCGATCCTCCCGCCTTGGCCTCCCAGAGTGCTAGGATTACAGGCGTGAGCCACCATGCCTGACTGATGATTTTCTTCTAATGCTTTCATAGTTTTGCCTTTTACGCTTAATTATTTTTTTATGTATGGTTTAAGTAGGAATCCAATTTTTTCTTCCATGTGAATAACTGATTGTCCTATACATTTCCTAATTGCTTGAATTTTTAGTTTCTTCTTAATTGAATTGTATACTGCAGGAAATTTAACAGTTCTTTTTTTTTTTTTTTTTTTTTTT